CATAATGAAAGGACTAAGAGTCAAAGGGAGCACATAAACAAGTCTAGTGCCTGCTAATACTAACCGATAGAATAAATAAAGGGGAGAGCAATCCAACATGGGAAGCAAGATACACAGCAGACTCATAGAATGGCAGATGTCCTAAACAGCACTCTGGCCTCAGAATCAGCCCTAAAGGCATTCCGGTCTGGCTGAAAAGCTCATGAGAGTATTTCATGCATGGAAAGCCAAGATACTCTGGCAAAAAAAAAGAGGACCTAAATGAAAGATATCTATGAGTGAGATCCCAGTGGAAAGAACAGGTCTTCAAAGAAGGAGGTACCTTTCTCTGAAGGGAGGAGAGAACCTCCACTTTGACTATGACCTCGTCTAAATAAGATAAGAGTCAGAGAACTCAAAAGGCTTCCATAGCCTTGGAAACTCATGACTGGGGCATGGGGAGATTACTGAGGCCATAAACAGGAGTGTCAATTTGTAAAGTCAACAACAGGAGTCACTGTGCACTTACTCCTCATGTAGGATCTCTGTCCTTAATATGCTGTACATTGAGATTTAATGCTATAACGAGTACTCAAACAGTATTTTTCACTTGGTGTTTCTATGTGGGTGCAAACTGTTGAAATCTTTACTTAATGTATACTAAACAGATCTTCTGTAAAAAAAAAAAGAAGAAATTATCAATTCCCAACTTGACTCTCACTGGGATTAAACATGACAATAGGTCTGATCTGATTTCATCATCATTTAAAAAATCATCTATTATTTTTCACTTTATGTTTCTGTGTTGAAGCAAACTGTTGAAATCTTTACTTAATGTATGCTAAACTGATCTTCTGTAGATAAAGAGAATCGAAAATGAATCTTGATGTGAATGGAAGGGGAGAGGGATTGGGAGAGGGGAGGGTTGCGGGTGGGAGGGAAGTTATGGGTGGAAGCCATTGTAATCCACAAGCTGTACTTTGCAAATTTATATTCATTAAATAATAGTTATAAAAAATGTATGCTAGGGGGCCAGCTCCATGGCACAGTATGTTAATCCTCCACCTGCGGCACCGGCATCCCGTATGGGCCCTGGTTCTATTCCTGGGTGCCCCTCTTCCAATCCAGCTCTCTGCTATGGCCTGGAAAATCATTAGAAGATAGTCCAAGGCCTTGGGCTTCTGCACCTGTATGAGAGACTGGGAGGAAGCACCTGTCTCCTGGCTTTGGATTGGTGCACCTCAGCCATTGTGGCCATCTGGGGAGTGAACCAACAGAAGGAAGACCATTCTCTCTGTCTCTTCCTCTCACTGTCTATAGCTCTACCTGTCAAATAAATAAAACCTTTTTTAAAAATGTAGTTCTAATTCATGAATATTATATAAACTTTCCCCCAAATCTTAAAATGTATACTAATCTAAATCCACCAAATTGGAGAGCTTCTACATTTTTTTAAGATTTATTTATTTGAACATCAGAATTACACAGAGAGAAGGAGAGATAGAAGGAGAGAGAGAGGTCTTCTATCCACTGGTTCACTTCCAATAGACCACAATGGCTGGAGCTGAGCCAATCTGAAGCCAGGAGCCAGGAGCTTCTTCTAGGTCTCCCACATGTGTGCAGGGGCACAAGGACTTGAGCCAACTTCTGCTGCCTTTCCAAGCCATAGCAGAGAGCTGGATCTGAAGTGGAGCAGCTGAGACAAACTGGCGCCCATATGGGGTGCTGGCCTTTCAGGCAGTGGCTTTACCCACTATGCTACAGTGTTGGCCCCAAGCTTCTACAACTTTGGTGTAATTTTAGAGCATTGTTCAAATCCTCAAGACCATTCCAGATGACATTCAGCACACGAGCCTGCCCAACTCCTTGACTGTAATCTGAGGCAATGTGGTTTTGATCTGGTGGCTCTCACATTGGCTTCTCTTTTTCAGGTGAAAGGACATTTTGCTTGGGTTTATTTTGCCACTGCTCAGGAGAAAGTAGCTTAGTTAGCTTTCCATAGGTCACAGTGATGCTCTCACAGTCCACTGAAATCTCACAGTCTGTTTCATAAGACTCAGAAACTCCCACAGTATATAACTGAAATTGCTTGGGTTGAAATCCTTCTCTCATTCCCTGTGTTCTCTTCCAAAACTGTGAAATTCCCCCATGTATATCATCTGCTTTTGAAAGTGTATTCTTTTTGGCTAAACATGTGCTTGGCTGAATCAGGAGTCTGATATCAGTGTTGAGCCTTCTGTAAGAGGCTGCTGGCATCAGTGCAGCTGTGTAGAATACACAGGTCTAACTGCATGTTTGTCTAGGCTCTGGACTCAGTGCTACGCTGGAGTGTATGAAGGTAAATCTTACAACAGTACCTGGTAATTTGGATAAATATATACTTTTGTGGACAGACTGAAACAGGAAAAAATGGCTTTTGGGAAAACTTTCTGAATTTGTTCCAGAAGATGCTGTTTAAGGAAAGCAATGTGTAGCATCTATAATAAACAAACACATAGCTCACTTTACATTCTGCCCCTTCCCTTTGTGGGTTTATTATGTACATTCAAGGGATATAACATGATGTCATAGGATACACATAGTTAAAATTAATATATTCAAGCAAATTAACATATCCATCCTCTAACATAGAGACCCAGGGTTTTTTGTTTGTATGGCAAAAGCAGCCAGAATCTACTTATTTATCATGAATTTCAATTCCAGTTCATTTTTTTACCTGTGTTCCTCATGTTTGTTCACTATTCTCATAACTCAAACCAACTCAGAATATATAACAAAACTCAGAGAAGAAACATCTGAAAACACTGGTATCTAGAAGAAGTTTGTTTCATTGGCCAGTAATTTCCAGTCCTCTGCCAGGAGCAGCTTCACCTCAATTTGTTGACAGGACACTACATAGGAGCAAAGCTTGAGAAATGCTCCAAAAGTTTAAAATCTGAAGCTATTTTTAAAAGACTTCTGTATCTTCAGAAAATCGGTGCTTATATAATCTTATGTGTAGTCTTTCGTGTGACAATATTTATTATGTATCTGTTATTAGCTACCCTTGACATACTTAGCATTCTGGGAAAAATTATTTCACAATCAACTAAATAATAAGGGAAATACATCTCTTCTATCTCAGTATTGCTGCCTTTCATAAAAATAAATAATTTTTTTTCAAAAAATAAGTATGAGCATGCAAGACAAAATGATAAAGTTATAAAGTCATGCTTGATCTAACTCACAAATACATATTACCTCTGTAAAGTTCACCAATGGTTAGTTTTTAAACCATGCTGCTTCCAGGAAAGTGAACACATTGAGCTGAGATCAGAATCAATAATTTAGATAATAAGCACCCCCATTGTAATCTAAAGATACATGAAACATGCATGTGTCTCAACAACCTGGGGCCCACCATCTCATCCTCTCCCCTCGGTAGGCCCTTCTGGGATTAAGGATTAAAAACCAAAGCCACGCCCCAGGCAATCAGCCCTTCCTAACTGCCTTGGAGCAGCACAACTTCTGCTTGCTGTCTCCTTTGTCCCATATGTGAATGGGATGAATCTGAGGAAGCACAAAGCACAAAGATTCTGCCCAGCAAGAAGTCAAGGACTCCTTGGTTAGCCAGTCCACTTCCTGTTCCTAACCGTGACTCTTTGGGAAATGATATCCCAGTGGCATTGCCACAAAAGAGGATCTTATATACAAAGATGTTCGATGCAAACTTCGATATTTTTTTTTTTGACAAGCAGAGTGGACAGTGAGAGAGAGAGACAGAGAGAAAGGTCTTCCTTTTGCCATTGGTTCACCCTCCAATGGCCACCGCAGCTGGCGCACTGCCGCCAGCGCACCGTGCTGATCCGATGGCAGGAGCCAGGTGCTTATCCTGGTCTCCCATGGGGTGCAGGGCCCAAGTACCTGGGCCATCCTCCACTGCACTCCCTGGCCACAGCAGAGAGCTGGCCTGGAAGAGGGGCAACCGGGACAGAATCTGGCGCCCCGACTGGGACTAAAACCCGGTGTGCCAGCGCCGCAAGGTGGAGGATTAGCCTAGTGAGCCACGGCACTGGCTTCTTGGATATATTTAGTAGGGAAAACCATTGAGAACATCCTTTCTGATCTCTTCTTAAAATCCAACGGGTCTAGTGAGACCCCCAAACAACAGGAAAAATTCACACCAAGACTGGGAATGGGGTTAGGGGAAAATCCCAGTTTTTGCTTTCAAGTGTAAAATATAACAAATGCATGTTACTCCTATAGTTTAAAATGTGTTTAAAGGATTCAATTGGCAAAAAAGAATTAAAAACAGACACAATTCCTGAGCTTTGGGGCTTGCAATCATGCCCATTAAATTCCTAGGCAAGGAACCAGTATTGTGGCATACCAGGTAAAGCCACCGCCTGTAATGCCAGCATCACATATGTGCACTAGTTGGAGTCCTCACTGCTCCACTTCCAATCCAGGTCTCTGCTAATGTGCCTGGGAAAGCAGCAGATTTGGCACAAATCCTTAGGTTCCTGCACAGATTGGGGACCCAGAAGAAGCTCCTGGCTATGGTTGCAGCCATCTGAGAAGTGACCAGCAGATGGAAAATTTCTCTCTGTGTCTGTCATTCTCTCCATAGCACCTCCTTTCAAATAAATAAAATAACTCTTTAAAAAAAATTAATAGGAAAGACTAAAGTAGGAAAATAACCCATTATGGAATTGGCATTTTTAGTCAAGACCATGGAAAGCTAGAAAATAAAGTTCAATAATGGTAAAACCTAGCAATTCATAAAGGAAGAAGAATTTCACAAAAACAGAATTAGTAAACCTAAGCAGTGTGTAAAAAAAAAAAAAATAGAACACAAATAAACCAAGAAGTATGGTAAACTACAAGGTAATGACTTAATCACTTGAATATCCTTGTCTGGGTATAACAATATATAAGTTGGGTATCATCTCACTTCAATTAAAAAAATCTGAACTTTTCACTTTCTTTGCTATATTGTGACATCAGAAGAAATTCATTCCCATTACACTTTGTGTGCTTACCTCGGCCTCTATTTGGGAGTCCCAGTTTAGACCAACTTGTGTCAGTTGCAGCCACATTTTCACCATGATCACTAAAATGCCTGCCTTCCATCCAGCTATCAAATGCAGGCTACTTCCAGAGCTTGATTCGATTCATGTAAAAATGAGAAGGAAAAAGGTTTTAAAAGTTTGTAACCTGTTTTTTTTTAATCCACACAAATATAAAACTATTATTGTACTCCACACATACAAGATGAGTTCTGCAGAACTGAAGATCTCTCTTATCCATATTTGTCATAACATTCAGAAACTTATTTTCATTTCCAACTGCCAGTGCTGGTGATGACACAGATGAAACCAATGCCCTCATATTCCTATGACCGCATACAAATTGATTCAACCATCTCAGAATTCAAAATGGTAATAGGTTGCCCATAAATTTACACAATCTTGGATAAGTAAATAAGTCAGCATGGTATTCCAAATTCATGACTGAAAGATCACACCAGATTTTCTGCAGAATTTCTAACAGTGAAATCTTAAGGCTGTCTTAAAGTCTATCAACAGCAAGATTATAGTTAAGTAAAATATAAACTTATTATTTTAGTAACATGATTAGAAACATATAGCATGAGCTATAAAGACTATAGATTTAGGATTCTAAACTGCCAACCAAATGCAATATCCACTCCGTATTTATTTCTTCCTTATCAGAGTGGGAAGGTATGGTATGGGACAGTAAAGACAGGGCCGGCCCAGACCTGGCGTGGACTGCAAAGACCACCGAGAAACATCCTGCCCTCCTGGGAGCCGCGGCCTGGCCGCTGCACGGCCCACCGCCCAACTGCGCACAAGACCCCGGAGGGACTCTGCCACATCCCACCCCAGGCCGCCGTCCAGGTTTCCCGGGACCGGCGCATCACCCGCAGCAGCTGGGCCACGAGGCGCCGCGGCAAGCGGAGGATGCAGTCTCAAGCACGGGTGAATGGCCGGGCCGCCTCCCCCGCCCCGCGCAGTGATCTCAGCCTCACACTGCAGTGTGGCCTCGCCGCTTGGGAAATGGCCGCCCTAGCGGTTGTCTGACTCCAACGGAGATCGATCGGCCCCGCCCCCTGAGGTCCCGCCCCCCTCCCCGCTCTGTGTCCCACCAGGTGCCCTGTGGCGGGGAGGCGGGAGCAAGTCTCTCACATCCTCTCTGCGGGGCTGCCAGGGGGCGGCACCACGTCCCTTCAGTCCGTGCTCTCAGGAAATGATGACCGATGCTGTCGATTCTCCAGCCAATCCTGGCACGCCTTGATCTATCCTACTTCCGGGCAAGATGGCGTCCAGTGGCGGGCACTTTGGAGGCTTATTTGAGCGCCGCCTAGAAAAAAATATGGGATACGGGGCCAAACCTCAGGAGGGAGGACGGCTTCACTCCGTCAAGGTAAAACGATTTCAATTTCATTCATTATCCTTGGGGGCGCTAAGTGAACGGCAGCACCACGCGGCCAGCCTACAAATAGAAAGTGACGCGGCTGCTGGCAAGGCGCTCACTCTACAGGGCCTAATGGAGCAGGTACCAGAGTGTGACCACGACTGTGCTGACGTCATTGTGCAGGTGTCCTCTGTGTTGACAGCAATACTTGAGCATGGTACTAAGCTCTGGAAGAATATTTGAGTGATGTTCAGAATAATTTCTACCCAGGCAACTTCTGGAAAAAATATGAACTGAAGTTACTTTGTTATGTGCTTTAGTTAGATACCTACTCACCTGAAGTGTTTTTCTTTTTTCATGCAGATAAAGTGGCAACATTTTTTGTTTTGTGTGCGTTTTGCACACTGGTTGAGCAGGATTTTTTTTACAGAACTCCATTTTAATATAAGGGCAAATGACTCTTAAGCTTCACTGTGAAATACAGATCAAAAGCAAAGAAAAAATATTACTTCGTGTTTTTAATATTAATAGACTTTGTTATGATTTTTTGTTATTTCTGTATATCATAAATCCAACATTAGGAACATAGTAAATCTTCCCACTCACTCTCCCCCCTTCATCCTCCTTCTCCTGTTTATTCTAAGAAAGAAAAAGACAGGAAAAAAAGAGTGAGAAACAATCCATTTAGTAATTTAATTGTCTTTAAAGAAGAACCCAAGAATGTTTCATCTTTTGGGAGCTCTTAGACATAACGATAACTTACAGGACATAATAATATCCTCCATTTAATACACTAAAAGGAAGTGATCCTTGATAATACATTTTACTATTAAGTCTCATGATGCAACTCTTTGGGGACAGAGGTCCTGCATGAGAAGTTAATGCACAGTGACTCTTGTTATTTATTTAACAAATAGGACTCTTAGGTATGATATCAGTGATCACCCAAAGCTCTTAACATGAGTTGCCTTGGCCTTGGAAGCCTTTTGGATCCACGAGTTTGACAAGGCAGAGTATCACTATTCTGCCACCTTGGACCTCATTGGTTTAAATGATTTAGATTTTGCAAAAATGATCCCAAGTGACTTCTAGCTTAAAACAGCATGCAGACTCACTTTTATTTTAAGAAGTAATGTAGGCTGGCGCCGCGGCTCACTAGGCTAATCCTCTGCCTTGCGGCGCCAGCACACCGGGTTCTAGTCCCAGTCGGGGCGCCGGATTCTGTCCCGGTTGCCCCTCTTCCAGTCCAGCTCTCTGCTGTGGCCAGGGAGTGCAGTGGAGGATGGCCCAGGTACTTGGGCCCTGCACCCCATGGGAGACCAGGAGAAGCACCTGGCTCCTGCCATCAGATCAGCGCGGTGAGCCGGCCGCAGCGCGCCAGCTGCGGCAGCCATTGGAGGGTGAACCAATGGCAAAAGGAAGACCTTTCTCTCTGTCTCTCTCTCTCACTGTCCACTCTGCCTGTCAAAAATAAAAAAAAATTAAAAAAAGTAATGTAAAGTCACAGGAAGTCATTGATGTAATTTGAATGCACATCTGTCTAAGGATCACAGCCCTACTTGCTGTAGTGTGCTAGAATGGGAAGTAGGTGGCAGTGAATAGGAAGTAATGCATCACACCCTTCCGTACCTGGTCTCCTCCCAGTTGTAATCCTCTTTGTACCCACGCCAGCAGGTAACACACAAGAATCTAGTACTATGACTGTCCTAGGAAGTTCAGTCAACCAGGAACCCTCAGTCACCATTCTCCATGTCATTTAGAGTAGGAATGTGTACAAACACCATCGTCTTGGTGATAAACTCCCTTGCCTGCTAGCAGCAGCTTTGCCTGGAGTTCTGGGCTGAATGCTGATTCCTTCTAGAACTTTGGAACCAGCTTCAAAGGCTGAGCATTTTGTGTTCCATGAGAAACCCATGATGGTTCAATTCTTCCCTGTGGGTTTGTTCTGTCCTGGGAGCTTTCAGGACCTATCATTCCACTGAAATTTCCAAACATTTGAATCGTTGGTTTATGGCACAAGTGTTGGGCTGGATACTTGAAGTGCCTTTTGAAATGAAAACACACATGCCTAAGTTACAATCATTCCCACCATTTTGTCCTTATCTTTCTACTTTGAGGTCATGGCTTCCCTTGCAGAGGGCTGTGTCCAGGGCCCAGTTCAACTGCCTGTCATGTTTCCAGAGAGTCTATTCAACTCATTTAGAGAATGTCTCCTTGCCAAGTGGGTATGAAAATCCCTGTCCCCAAGACCAGGCCCTGAATCCCTCCGTGGCTTCTAGGTGGTTCCATGACAGTTGACAAAAGACTTCACAGGTGTGACAGTGGGAGGTTTTCCAGGGTTCTGCTTGTGGGCCCATTGTTATCACCTGGAAGTGATGTGGCAGGAGGGGCAGTGGAAGGGGACTGGAGCCTCAGTCCTGTAGGTACATGGGACACAGTTTGCCCACACTCAGCATCAGCTGAAAACTGGAATCTCCTTGGAGCTGCCAGGCAGGGCACAACCTAGTAGATACTTGGACATGGACCTGGTTGGCTCATGGGCCTACAACCTGCAGTTCAGCTAAAGTGCATTCAGGTAGCAGCAGACAACCAACAAGTGGGTGTGAGAAGGGAATGGAAGTGCCTAGAGTAGACCCTGCAGGTACTGCACAGAAGGCATTTTGGAGTCCAGAACCTATCTGAGCTAGGAAGGACCCCATCCCCACACACACTCACACTCATTGTCCTGCCAACAAGGCCTGCTCCCTTCATTCCATCATTACAACTCTTCTCAGTGCTCAGCTCTCCTTGTGCGCTGACTGCAAATGTCTTTTGATATTTTTCCCACCATTTTCTCAAGAGTTCCTGCACAGAGAGAACTTGATGACATGACTAAAAGCCATATGGCACATTGGGTTTTATTCCTCCTGATCTTTGTTTTTAAATTATTTTATTTCTGAGGCAGAGAGACATGAAGACAGAGACAGAGCTAAAGACAGGCAGATACTCCACCCACTGGTTCATTCTCAAATGCCTAAAACAGCCAAGGGTTGGCCAGGGACTGAAGCTGGGAGCCAGGAGCCAGGAATGCAATCTAGGTCACCCTGCTGGGTGAGAAAAACACAACTACTGAGCCATCACCTGCTGCATCCCAGGGTATGCATTAGTGGGAAGATGGAATCAGGAGAAGACGCAGAACTCAAATGCAGACACTCCAATCTGGGATGCTGGTGTCTACATGACCAGGTCAAATGCAAGCCGCACAAATGACAAATTTACAATTTTGTCAGTTATGCATAGCATATTGGGAGAGTCAAACCCCATTGTTAGGTTCAGATATGAGATATCAGATCAATGCACATAGAAATCACAAATGCCAACCTTTGGTGAGTGGTGTTCACTTCCCAGATCTCTTTGTGTAACTGCAGGCAGGCACTTAATCCATCTGAACCACAATTTGCCATCTCCACAGTAGAGACACACACCTGTGTCTGACCACAGGCTTGGAGAGGGATTGTCAGCTGGGAGCTGAACAGAGGGTATGGAGGACATTGGATTTGTCAGAGTATATCTGCAGGAAAGCTCACCATTGCCATGACCTTGATTTTTCTTCTGTGACTGTAGATGGGTGGATAGTGTACCCACTGACCCAGTAGGGGAAAAAAGGAGCATGTTTTTCTCTCCTCATCTCACCCACAATGGCACCAGGCAACCAGCTGAGAGAGGGCGGTGCCATTTTGGGCAAAAGCAGCAGTTGTGAAATCTCTTTGCTTGAGCCCAGCAGCCAGCTGGGACAACACATCATGTCAGCAGTACCGATGGCAACAACTCAGGTGCACACAATCAGCAACCAGTGGAGAGAAGGTAACAGTCAGCTGGCACTCTTGTGCACAGCTGTGATCCAGAGATTATAGCAGAGGGGAGAAGCAAGTTCTCCACTGACTTTAAGTCTGGCTGGGAGGATTGATAGGGGGATGAGCATGCAAGCAGCAATATGAGTGGCCCCCATTTGCTCAACATATCACAGGCTCTGGTGCTCAAGCTTCCTAGGCAGAATACCCACAGGCAGCTGGCTCTGGAAACATCTTTGACTTTCTGCAGTCATGACAGGTAACCAGGGAAGGGTGGGTCCTCTGGAATCCATGATGGCAGGAGTAGTGTGCTGAGACTGTGGCAATTCTGTGACTGCACAAGAGAGCTCAGGGTGTAGCTCGATCTCTGGACAATTATTGTGTGTTATTCCATATGCTCAGAGCTCCCTGATTGCCTGGGGTGGGATTGCAATGGGATCTGTGCTCATAATGACAACTGCACAGATCCTTTGTGTGGTTCATATGGCAATGTGGATAAAATTTTCACCCACTGTGAACTAAAACCTTTAAAGTTTTGCTCATTGCTCACTTGGAAGAGAGGAGGTGAGGGTGTGATTACATCAACAGAGGTGACCATACTCACCTTTCTGCTAAAAAGAGATCTACCTTGCCCAATTTGGATATCATCATGAATATGGACCCATCCTGCAGCAGTGACCAGAGCTCCCTGGCCACACTCGGCACATGCTTCTGGGGTTTCACTGAAAGAGCAAATACCCCCACTAAGGCACAGAGGCATGATTCAAAGATAAAAACCATCAGAGCAAAAACCAACAAGTATTTTTCCACAAATGCTTAAAAATAAATGCAGAAATTCAAGAAACAGAAAAAGGAAGACAACAGGAATCCCCCAGATGGACACAACAATACTTCAATATTTGAAAGTGAATATGGAAGAGATTGATTAAATTCCTCAAGTGGAATTCAAAAGATTAATCATAGGATTACTCAGAAGCAATGAGAAGTATATTCATGAATTAAAGAAATCCATACATGCCATGAATGACAAATTCTTCCATGAAATTGAGATTTTGAGGAGAAATCAAACTGAAATATTAAAAATGAATAATTCAGTATGTTTTTCACATATTGCATACGTAGAAAGCCATAACAACAGATTTGGTGAGGCAGGAGAAAGAGCTAGAAGACAAATCTTTGGAAATTTCTCACACCAAAAAAATTGAAGATATTATAAAAATTAAAAACAGTATTGTAGAGAAAAAAAACTGTCAACCTAGAATATTGTACCCTATGAAACTGATTCACAAAGGTGATTTTAAGACCTTCCATAACAAATCAAAATTGAAAGAATTTATCACCATTCAGCCTTACAATGATGCTTAAGGATGTGCTACACACAGAAGCATGGAAATATAGTCTTCACTGTGAAAGAATGTGAAGGCAGAAAATCTCCCAGTAAAAGTACAAAGGAAATGCAAACAAAAAGTAGGAATATTTATAGGAAAATGACGGACAAGTAGTTACTCATGAATAGTCACCTTGAATGTAAATGGCCTAAACGCTTCAACTAAAAGATACAGGGTGGTTGAATGGATTAAAAAGCAAGACCCATCATTTGGTGCTTACAAGAAACACATCTCACCAACAAAGATACAGATG